TACCTGTGCACCGCCACATGCGGCACCATCATGAGCTTCAATCTTCTCCCTTATTGTTGCGGCTGTACTCCGCACACCCCTTCATTTATCTGCAGACAGAGGAAGAAAGAGGGAGAGAGGGAGTGTTGAGGGCTGGAAAGAGAGGGAGAGAGTGGTGAAATCATTCTGTGCTGGACGGGAACAGACAGCTCTCTCCCCTGCATTCATTCCATTTGTTAAGTTATGTTAATTATTATTAAGTCCACTCAGTCAACGAGAACAACCTGAACAGGCAGCGCGCCCAATCTCTGGCTTAGCAGAGCCGCTGGTCAGGCTGACAGGGCAGTGTGGAATGAAGAGATTCAGGGGAGTTGTTCAAGAGGAGAGATCTCTGACATTTCCATAGTCTGTTTATCCCTCCGTCCCCCCTCCAGACTGCCGCTGGAGCCCAGTCCACATTAACATCTTAATAGGAAAGTGTGTTAAACCACATCTTTACCTTCTCTTTGACAAGAGTGAATTAGGTGTCAGGCGGATTCCCACTGACTTTAATTGAATCTGCCGTCTGCCTGGAAAAAAAGGGGGAAATTTGAAGTCAAAATAACCTATTAGGTTTATCAAGTAATGTTTGGTTGGCTTTGGCAGCTAGCACTGCTGTATTACCCCGCCACATCCCGCTCCCCCATCTCGCACGCGGGTTGTTTATGAGGTGAGATTGGGTAGGATGTTGTACAAGCACACCGCTGTGTGTTTCCACGGTTTTTGTTATCCTCTAATAAGTTGTGGCCTGCCGTTTTTGTTTTTGAACTCCCTCAGGAAATCCCACAGCTCTCAGATTTAGGCCAGAGATGAGTGTGGAAGATTGCCCTGAGTAAACAGGGAGGGCTGATCAACTCCTCGTGACTGGATTACCAAGCGCTGGATTGCTCAGCCGTACCGGCCCTCTCACACTTCTCATTGTCTTCTTTGTCAAGACAGAGGGTTTTTTTAAGGGGGCAGGACTGACGGAATAGTAAATATAGACCATCAAATGCACTGAAGGACTTGTCTTAAGATCTGCTTTTCAGTCCTTTGATATTACCATTGAGAAGTTGAACTGCGATTATGACACCAAGGTTGCACTGTCTTGCACTGTCTTGGATGTGAGCATGTAAGAAGCGTAGATGATGTCGGGGATCTGTGAAGCGCCGTCTCCTCTCCATTTTCTCTCTCTATCTCCCACCAAACTCTTTAATTTCCGAACTGAGTGTGAGATATTGATGAAAAATTTTGCTCCTCCTTTGCACCGTGAAGAACCAATCAAGTCCACAAACCGGCATTAACTTTGGGTTGTCATGGATCCCTACACTTGATCAATAAACTTCACATATCATTACGGTGTGCCGCCTCAGAGGCCTGCCTTGTTCTCCGGCAGAAGTGGTATAAATCTTTCTTAAAAATTGCCAATGATTCACATTTTTAGTCTCGAGGGCAAAGTGTATTTCTTTTGCCAGATTTATTTGAGTCACAGTTCTGAGCTCTTATAGATAATAGTTTCAAGCCAAACCACATTTCTTTATGAAATTAATTGCCAACTGCTCATCTGCCTTCCTCACTGCTGTTCTTAGCACCAGTTCTACTGGTTTGTGTTTATGTTGGACAGATCAAAGATGGGAATCTTTTCTTAGGACAGCTCCAGCTAACCAAAGAATCAAGCTCATTGGTCTACAAAGCTTAAACAATCTTGTTTACAAAAATTTACTAACCCTATCAAAAATCACTCATGACCTGTCTATGTAATGTAATACTGCCATATAGAAACTACTAAATTCTGTATGTTCTGTGTGAAGTTCGTGAGTGTTCATTAAATGTTGCCTGTACTACATGTAACAATGTTTTTCTTTTTTAGCCAAAAGAACTGTATTATGACTGTCAGTGCTTTGTGTATCTCTCTGCAGGAACTCAAAGCTCCAATTGAGTAGTTTTCTCTAGACAGTGGGCTTTAAACAGGTCTTAGGCTGGTTTACATGGTGAAACTTTCATGCCTATAATAATCAACTTGACATTTATGCGACACAATTAAAAATTGCTTGCAACTCATTCAGTTATTCCACTTGTTAAGGAGATTAGTAAATAGAATGTTTTATATTGCATCGTTCTGGCTATATAAAGTCATCTGTGGTGTGTTATTTTGCCTGTGTTTGCATCTTATCTCAGGAAGAGAAAAATGATTTAGCTATGTAGATCATGATAGGCTACACCAGGCTAGCAAAGCAGAACAAACACATTCACACGCAGCTTTACAAACCACAGTTACATATACATACATTAGAGACCTAGAAACAGATTTCCAATAGGGGGCGCACTACTGAAGCCACTACGTACTCCTCAGAAGAAAGTATTTACCATACGCTTGCATTGATTTTTGACATTTGAAGTTTTTTTTGTTTTTTTTAGATATGTATTACAACCAAATGCATCTTTTAATGCAATGTGTTTTTCTTTATCATTGGCACAGTATTGCTAAATTTCGCTAAAGCCTTTGTGGGAATTACTATATTAGTGGCAAGCTAAGAATATTCACTTTTCCACACACTGAACGCTACTTATGGTAGCTCTACTTAAACAAGTTTAAGTAAACAAGGTTTAAATAGAACCTTGTAAAACGTAGGTGTAACATATTCTTTACTTTTACTTTGAATCCTTCAGTAAATATTTCAGCTTAAAACCAAACTGTGAATATTATTGGAGGAGCCTGTTAGCTGTCTGAGCTACCTGTCGAAACCTAGAAAAACAAAAATTCTTACATTGGGTATGTTTAGTATGGTTTCAAACATTTTACTTCATATACATGCAATTTGTGAGCACAAATAACGTTATATGCATTAGTGTTCGCAAGATCTGCATGGTCAAGGTACACAAACACAAATTTGAGGTCAAATATGCATATATATTTAAAAAGCTGCTCCCATCCTTATGAAGTAATGGATCAGATAGATTTGGAATTTCTGTGATGTTTCATATAATGAATATAATAGTGATATAATAAAATGTTTACACAGATACTTACCCATGTTTTTTGCCACAACCCATAAACTGGGTGTTGCTGCAGGAAAATACAATAATAATAATAACAATAATAATAATAATAATAACAACAATGTGTTGTATTAATGATATTGTTTGATATGATCCTGTGGTTTTTTGCGATTGGCTGCTTCATGAAACGTTTATATTATATAAAAGTGAAATTTTACCATGAAAAGTTTCACCATGTAAAGCCAGCCTCACAAAGCCACAGCCATTAAAGGTGCTGGTAGAGGTAGCGTACAAGAGGAAAGAAAATAAAGAGGGAAAAAAGCCCATGATGAAACCCTTTCTTCATGAGAAATATCAAACTGGAAGAAAGTCAGCAGTCGTAGTAAGCAGTAGTCTTAGTAGTAGTAAGCACTAATCTCAGCCTCAGCCTATTTCATGCATATTGCATGTCATGGCGTTAACTTCCAGAATGGTGGGGCAGTAATGTAGACTCTGCTCAATTAAAAAATCCATTAAAATAGAAAGGTTGCACGAACTAATTAAGAGTATCATCCACCTGCTTATGGTACCTTTGAACCAGTAATGTGTAGCCTTTTGGAGTCATTCCAGGCAAATCTTTTGCAAGACGTTGCTTATTGAATGAAATTAAATAGTTAGTTGATAACATGACCAATTTAAACATAGATGATTTCACAGTGATGAAAACAGACAAAGAAACATTTCTGAAACAATTCTACACTGTTTTCAGTGGAGTAAACCACCTCTGAGAGAGTTGTAAGAATACATTATTCGCATCTTGATGGCTAAAATCGATAAAATACCTGACCAGACTGATAAGGCACACTGCACATCGTAATACTTAAAGTTAATTCAGTTCCACAACAAATACAAGATTCTTAGTCTTTACTGTAATACTGTAATACTGTAAAGATTTATAGAACAAGAGAAAAAGAATGCAGGTTATTTCTTCCATTTGGAGAATGTCAGCTAGTTTTCCATTCTATAGCTCCAGTTTCTTTTAATGTAGACCCTTTTTAGAGTGTTTTATGATGATTTTAAAATATCTTAAAATACAAATGGAGGAAATAAATAAATGTATTGAAAATCTCAAAGATACTGAATGTAAGCATGTCTTTGGCTACTTTAAATGACACATTAGTGCACTAACGTTTTGCTTCCTATATTTTACAAAGCAGTCGAAAACAGGGCATTACTAGGTGTTATCAGTTTATTTCTGCTTTTAGAAGTTTGGAGAAGAAGCGCAAAAGCAGTGGTCTGTTGATGGTCATTATGCATGTCAGTCAAAAGGCCTCGTCTGGTCAAAGTGTGCAACTCTTGAACTTGTTAAGAAAAATTGTGGTCCAGAGTTCATGCTGATGTTTACAGCACTGGCTTCTGGCTTTTAAGGTTATGTTTGAAGAGCCATGAAAAAAAGGAGAAAGAAAACAATAATGATGTCTCCAAACCATTAGAGAGAGCATAAAGCTTGTCGGGCTGCAAGGACAATAGGCAATAAAGTCAAAGTCAAATAGGCCTCAGAACTTCAAATCCGCATGAACACGACAATCCAACTGATTCAAAGATCTAAAGGGTACCTATTACATTATATCCAGCCAAGAGCTGTGCATTTCCCAGGCACATTTTATGCCAGCTGATGGGACCACCAAGTTCTCAAATGATTGCACTGGGTTTAGATGCTCACCAGGTTTCTTATCAAATGGATTAATTTCCACACAAATCTCCATGGAGCTCCCAATGCGTTGTGCCGACCCATCCTCCGTGTGCAGGGCAAGGAATGACCAAAACACATGTTGCAGGCGTACAAAGAAACCAACGATCTTTGTACATCCATGAATACAGGGCCTATATTTGTCTTGAAATAGCTACTAAAAAGTTCTTAATTGGGGCTTTAAATATGCTTAAAACACTTGTAAACTGAATGATTTTTGTCATTGTTTTTAAAGCATCATCTGCAATGTGGAATCTTTGTGTTCTCGCCCCAGTAGACTCCAGAGCTGGAGCAGGAGCTCAGAGAGCGGTGGATCATGCCGTTATTGGAGGAGTGGTGGCCGTGGTGGTCTTCGCCATGCTTTGTCTGCTTATCATTTTGGGACGATACTTCGCGAGACACAAAGGTGCGTAGGCAGCTCATTTCTCACACAAATTGGACACACTCTCAAAGATGAGGTCAAGAGACCTGCTAATTATTTGGGGTAAGATTTTTGGTTTGCGAGGACTCAGAGGAGGTGCAGTCATTGTAGAATGGCTGTGAGTCTTTGGAGCCGGCCTATGGCTGACACTTCTGTCCCTCTGCGATTGGTGCAGTTGTGTTTCCTTTTTTTTTCCTTATAAAGTGGGTCCACTTTTCATTGAGGCTATTGCCTTCATTATTAAGGAGTAGACTGTGGGGACAGGAATAATACCACTCGGAAATGAAGTTTGAAGTGGATTGGTTATTCCCGCCACCTTGTTACACTTTCAAGGTTAATCCTGAAGCGCACGTCGAACCAAATGGAAACCTCCAGCGTTTCTGATTTGGAGAGGTTTTCATGGAAATTGAGGAATAGATTTTCATGTATTAATGGTGACTTGGAGCAAAATGATCAACAGGCTTGTTCTTCAAAACATGTGCCATGCCCGCTTTGCAGTGATTTGTTGCTTTTAATGGTGCTCATTTGCCGTTGCAGATGAGAGCAGCGGAAATGTATTCTGTAATCAAACTGTCTCCCATGTTTTATCATTTGGAATTGGTTTGTGGGGCTCTGCTAACATTTGCACATAAAAAGCAGCATAGCACCACAGCATACAGAGCACTGAAGACCTTTACTTCTAGGCAGGCATAGCACTTGCATTTTAAAGTCTGCGGGATCGACCCCTCGCTCTAAATTAAAGAAGCTACTCCAGACAGTCTTTAATCTCTTTTAAGACCCACCAGTTGCATCAATCAGATGCCCCGAGGTGCCAGGGATATTACTTTTATCAACGAGCTTTTCTTTGAAACTTTCCACAGGCACCTACTTCACACACGAAGCGAAAGGGGCAGACGACGCAGCAGACGCCGACACGGCCATCATCAACGCTGAGGGCGGACACAACAACTCGGACGAGAAGAAGGAGTACTATATCTGATTGTGCAAGCCTCTGGTGTTGTTATTATTATTATTTTTCTTGTTTTTCTTTTGTTTTTGTTTTTTGATGGGTGGGAGGGGTGGGGCATGGTGGGGTAAAGACTGGGGAATGTTTTGTTGTTTTTCTTCCTAGGGATTGAATGATGTAGAATGCTACCTGGACAACTGAGAAGACGTAGGCATCCGTGTTTGAGTAAGGCAGGGGTGGTGGCGATAAGGGGTGGGTGCTTCTGGGGGGAGGTACGGGGTGGGCTTTGGTTGCCAGATGTTGCCAGATATCATTGTAGAGAGCTTCACCATTCAACACCTCCCAAACTGCTGGTACTACTTTTGTTCAGTTCCTACCATTTGCAGAAACTTCTGTGCCTTGTTCTGAATTTTTTTTTTTCTTAGTCATGCTTTATTTTCTGTTGTTGTTGTTTTTGAACTCCCCCCACATTTAGCCCTCCCCATTCCTTTCTTCATCACCAGTGTCGCCGTCTGCTTTCCTGTGAGGGTTACATATACACAGCGCCTCAAGACACCCCTGCACTGTGTAGGCATCGAGTTCTTCTCCTGCAAACCAAAATCTCATCAGATCCTATCCTCTATACTGTGAGCAGGCCAGGCCTCGTGGCACCGTTTTTAACACCTTTTTTGGTAAATCCAGACTATGTGCATTTGACGTCCTAAACATTTCACACCTAAAAAAATTGGAACAGAGAAAAGCAAAAGCGCGATCCATCAAGTACAGCCGATCTCAGTCCCAGTCAGCTCCACGTTGAGACGATAGACGAGTGCTGACCCTGAACGCTGCACCTGTGTCTGTTCCGACAGGCCTGTCTGCGTTGCTATAGAATGCTTTTATTCCTTCCTCTGTTTTCCTCCATTTATTTTTCAAATTAAATGTGCCAGTACATTTGAAGCATCGACGCGGTTCGGAACGAGCATAGGTGCAGACAAATTATTTCCGACTTGACATGCTGCACTTACAGAAGCATATTGTTCGGTTCCACTCAGCTAGATGGAGCTGAAAGCCCTTTAGGTATTTATTGTTTTTGGTATAATGATGTCTTGAGGTTTTTTTAGCCATTTTCATCCAGAGATGTCAAAAAAAAGGCCATAATGGCATAAGCGTTGTCATTACCTAAAAAAGATCAAAATGCTGTTTGTCTTTCAACGTAGATGCTCTAGCTTTCCTGAGCTGGTGATGATGGTCCTGTAGCACATGCTTATCTGACTACCTAAACTTGTGTCAAAGCAAACTGTTGGTAGGTTTTAGATTCTGGTTTCAGTATATATGGCTTGACAGTGTAGGATGCAAATGCAAATGCCATGTTTTTTTTTTCTTTTTGACTCAGAGGGATGTTCTAAGACTATTAATCAAATTTATAACTATACTACCTTAAGACACATCTTTACCATCCAAATGATGTTTACCTCTGTAGACATCACGGTTACGTGTTGATGATGACTGAACTCAAATGTACACAAGCCCCAGCTGTGACAAGGTACATATGAATGTGGTACATATGACTTCATTAATGACCTCTAGCTTCATTAGCAGTGCAGCTAATATCTGAGTGGTGACGCTAATGTCTTAAGACAAACTGGCCAAATTCAGTTATACTGCTTTGAAGCCAGATCTAATGTCGTCTACAGTGGCTAACTGCAGCGTCAAATTATCATCTAGACTGAACATAAGCACATCATCCTCTGAGTTACGGCCTATTTCTGCTTGACCTTAACTGAGAAAATGGCGGAAATGCTTTTCATTTGAAGGAGCTACAAGTAAGAGTACATTAAAAATCCATTAATCATTGTAAGAGCATCATAAATTTGCTTTGTTCGCTCCTAAGGTGCTGAATAAATGTGAAAGGGTCAGGCAGGTTTAGCTTGCATCACTGGAAGCTAGCTTGAATGATGAACAACAATAGCGTACTCAAGCAAAAGCAGCATTACTCGATGAACCTGCAGCTCCTTTAAAGCACTGAAAATCGAACAGATTTGAATAACATTCCGAAATGGTTTGGAGCTAATATATGAAGTATCAGATGTATATAAGCTCATCACTACTCTAACTAGCACCGTCTGACTGACACCTTCCGTATATCACACTTTGTGGCTGAAGCTAACAGAAGAGACGAATATTGAACTTTGCAGCTGTTTTCTAGCATTTGATAGAATGAACGCATCACGGCTATAGCAGTGTTTTCTGAAGTCTGGCTGATATAAACAGAGGAAGCAGGGCCTTTTTTTCTAGTGCATATCTTACTCTGGACAAAAACCATCTGTTAAATGTGAAAACTTCGCTCGCTTAAACGTATAACAAACGTGTAACAGTTCAGCCAACAAAAGCTTCGTTTTCAGAAACATTCCACTGTACAGACTGCAAACCAGTCCGTCTGAAGCTGAGGGCAAAAGCTGACATCCTTAATGTTGCCGTGGGAAGATGTTGGAAGCTCTTCTTAAGGTTTTCCTTGTCATATTGTGCAGTCGCCATGATTTGTGCCCTGCTGACCTCTGTGTGTAAATAGGACGAATGAGGCTGAGGAGGAGAAATCACGGTCATATTTTCTTTATTTTGTTATTTAAAAAAACATCCACTAAGATTTTTTTTCTCTGTGTACTTTACCATAAAGGCCGATTTTTCCTCATTTTTATAGCACAGTACAGAAAGAATGTTTTCCAGCTACAGAGTTTAAGTTGAGATGTAAGATTGTGTGGCTTGTTCTTAGTGAGCTTCGTTTAGCTTTGGTCAAAAGTCTGGTGGCTTCCATTTACACAGGATCTCCGAGTCCGTACTCCACCTTTGCATACGTGAAAGACATGATACCAGTTCACTGATTCAGTGGTCGTTTAGACTGGGCCGGTGTACATTTTGTTAAACTTGATATGTTAGACCTATTTTAAATGTGGTGGTTGTGGTCTTTTGAGGACTTGAATGATCCAAAATAGGACTCAAAATGCAGCGTTGTGCTCAATTGTTGTTTTAAGCACCTCCGTTGTCTGTCACTTGTACAGCCAATCAAAAAACAAACGAAAAAAAGGTCCAATTGATACCGCGAAAAAGTACAACTGCCTGTGATGAGGTGTGAATTTGGATTTGAGTTGTGTTGTCTTCTTTTCTACTGCTATGTTTGTTGTTTCCACTGATTTTAATGCCCCTTGTTTGATAGTGCAACAGTGTTAATGATGTATTTTTATTTACTTTTATTTGATCTTGATTTTTTTACATTTTTTTCTGCCCTGCCTCAGGTTCATGTACAATGAATGCTACGTTTGCATCTCAGGTAGATTGCAAAGTCGAGGCCCCTCCCATCAATGAATTATACGAGAATTAAGGAAATCAAGTCCAGACAGAAATGACCAATTTTGCATTTGGACTGTACATGTTTTATGTAGTTATTTAATATTTGGTGCACTGTACAAGATGTTGAGTATTATTTTTAGACCTAGTTCACAAAGAAAGAAGTGCTGACAGATGTACGACAAGACAGAATCACAATGGTCAGTTTAAAACTCAACATATTTATCAGTCTGGCTCCGGATGGGTTGGATCGCTCGAAGAGTTTTTGGTCCGTTTCACCCATTGTTTTAGGTTGATTCTTTTGTTTTTTATTTTTGTCTTTCTGCTGTACTTGGGCAATGTTACTGTGTATTAATGAAGAAAAAAGATATCCACATTCCCATACACATTTTGTATTGGTTCATATTAGACATTTTTACAAAAATGGAGAGTTCTTGTCTTAATAAAAAAGAAAAGATATTAATGTTCAAAGTAATGGTTGTATTTGGTGGTGGGTTTTTTTCTTGTCCTTGCAAGTATGACTGTGCCTAAAAATGAAATGTTGGGAAAGCGACACAGGAAGCGTGGCAGTTTGCCATGGTTTGTGCATCTTTCTTCTTTATATTAAGTGTAGCCTTTTGTGGCTTTCCACAAATCAGAAAGTGGACAAAAGATGCACTTTTTTCTATAAACATTTATGAGTGTTTATTACTTTTATTTAAAATATAAAATACAGTACTGTGCAAAAGTCAGAGACCACCCTTCATTTATTTAGTTTCCAGTTAAAATGGCCATTGAATACAAGTTATTCATTTTTTTGTAGAAAAGGGGATTAAATGTAACATCAAATCAAAATAGGTTGAAAAAGATACAGAGAACTCCTAACTGAAAAGATGTGTAGCTGTAAAGAAGCCCTTACTGAGAAAAGCAAACAGACAAAAAAGAGAAAATGTGCACTAGAACACTGAAACTGGACCTCTGAGATGTGGTGTCAGGTTTTACGCACTGATGAGTCTAAATTTATAATTAGGATTACTTGAAACATGAGGAGCAGAAAATACAACCAAATTCTAAGACTGAACTTTGGAGGTATAAAAATATCCCTGCAGATTTCTTTGAAAAACTGAAAGCAAATCTCCCAATATGAATAAGCTGTAATAAAGCAAAGAGTGGACACACTAAATACTGGAAAAATATATTTAGGTGTTGAGGCTCCTGTGTAAATTTCAGTTTTTTGCAGAATTATCCTTTATGTTGTGTTGCGTACATGATAAACAGCCCTACAGAAATGCTTACATTACCTTGGACTGCAAGTTAAGAACATTTTTCCTTCTCCTGTAAATGTACTTTTTTGAGATACAGGGCTTCATACTCTCAAACATCTTTGTCTTTGCCATGGAAGAGAGTCAGGAGACCAGGGTTCACATAAGAGATGTTCTTTATTTGAAGAGAACACGCTGTCCTCTCTCCTACAAACCTAAAGAAAGTTTTTGGACCTACAGCTTTATACTCTTATGTCTCTCCACAAAACCCTTTGTGTAGCGTTATTCTTGGGGAATCAGATCCTGACATAAGTACCTGTGTAAAAGTGTTCTTTTCCTGTCCTTAGGAAGCACCGTAAAAGGCAGTTTGGACTGCTTTCAAGGTATCAACACTGCTGAACAATGAATAACAGCTAAAATAAGAATATAAAACAATTCCCAACAGTTCTGACAGTGACTGTTTTTTTTCTTGATACTGAAAAATGAATAAATTGTATTTAATGGCTGTTTTGACAGTAAATTAAATAAATGAAGTGTGTTTTTGACACTTTTGCACACTACACATAAATCCTTGAAACACTACAAAATATAGTTAAGCGCAGTGGCAGCATTGTGATTTTTATAGGTGGCTGCTCAAATTTCATTTCTATATTCAAAGCCTAAGAATAAACAAACTAAAAAACACAAATAAAAAATGCACTTGCTGACTGTAGAACATATTCAAAATTCTATTAAATGACACTGACTAATAAAAATCCTACTTTAACGAGTTACCATAACCATTTGCTAAGCATGGCTCCCTCCAACACTCCATACCTAAACAATAGTCATCTACAGGTTTCAATGTACTTTTCGTCGCTCTGGTACCAGAGATATGAGTTAATAGTGCACTGCAGTGATGCTGGCTGAGTTTTGGACATGAATGCCAGGAGGACTGTGGACCATGAATTCCACCAATTTCTTTAAAACCTGTGTATAATTCAATCATTGAGATGTAAACAATAGTTTGGTGTAAACAAAGAAACATACACCGAAGTGGTGGGGATAGAAACCAGTTGCTGTGATGTCTACAAGTCAAATATAGCTATTTTATTTAAACCTCCACATGTCTTCTGAGTTTTTATGTGTAAGATTCAAACTACTCATCAAACTACTGAATGACTTTGTTTACATCTTAACAATAGAAATTTTGAAAAGTGCCTTTAAGGACAGGAACACGGCTTGTTTTGAGCACAAAAGTAGCTGAACTATAATCTGAAAATGGCCCCGTTAACACAGAAGGCATGTATGCTGGAAATCTCCGGCATATTTAAGTTATGTTTGGTCATTATTGCCCCTGTGTGCAAAGCAGAAGATATGAGTTTGGATCATTTTTCTTTCAAGAGCTCTGGTTGACTAGCAATTTTTCCTTCTGCAGTGCATGAACATAGCTCAGCACACGCTTCAGTTATGATTTATACTGTTTTTTATTGCCTGTATCTCCCTCTATGGGAGGGAAGTTCAGTCCTTCAGTGAATTCACTATTGTGTCCATCCAAAACTGCAGTCATGGT